AGTTTAAGAATTGTGTGGGCAGGAGCGCGCTCATATTCAGATGGAACTGAACTGTTTCTAATAAGATTCATTTCCTGCTGTGACACACTGGAAGCACGTTTCAGAGGAACAGCCGTGTTAGTCTGTATTCGCAAAAAGAAAAGGAGTACTTGTGGCACCTTAGAGACTAACCAATTTATTTGAGCATAAGCTTTCGTGAGCTACAGCTCACTTCATAGGGAAACAGGAAAGGAACACTGTTTAGCATGAGCAATACATGAAAGTATTCACAATTTAAGCTGTGTTGGTCAGTAAGATGCAGAGACCAAGATTTTCAAAAATGAAAAATACTGGCCACTCACCCACAGCGAATCAGGCTACTTTAAGGTGTCTCTAGTTGAGCACCCAAAATCACCAGTCATTTTTTAAAAGCTTGACCATAGCTCTATGGTATTTTTGAGGGTATTGGTGTTTATTGTCAGAAGCTACATCTTACTTTTGGAGCTAGGGGTGGGATTCCCAGCTTGAGTGCAAACACAAGTCCCACGCACTCGCTGTCATAGAGCTGGCATGCTAAAAATAATAGAGAAGCCATGATAGCAGGTGTTGGGTATACATGGGGTGGGTAGCCCATGCTGCCACTCACTACTGCCATGCTGTTGTGGTGACACTGCAATGTTTAGTGCACTTGCTCAATGAGAGCTTGCCCAACTATGACTACTTGAGCTGGGAATCACACCCCCCGCTCCAGGTGTAGCCATAGCCTCAGTTAGGATCTCAGTGTAAGTATTCACATCTGCAACTAAGCATTCACTTTGTGCATTCTCTTTTATTTGTTTAAAATTTCCTGTATTACCTGCCCATTCTTGCCAGTCAGCTCACTTGTTGGGATGTTCACAAAATGCGAACACGCAAAGCGTGTATTGATGTATTTTCCTAGTTCTAGTTAACGATACGTTTGGCAGCTAAAGAAATATTTCCTAAAGAAGAAATACAGTTTCAAAGCTGCTTTTCAAAACACTTGTCTCCATTTTACTAGTTGGTGAATGGTGGTGGTTGACCCAAAATAAGACCCTGCTCCTGAGAATACTCCCTGCTTGCTTTTCTGCATGTCAGTGGTCTCGTTAACATAGGTGAAATACATGCATAGGTCTTTGCAGATCAGTCTCTGTAGTCTTTAGAAATCATTACATATATAAAGGGCTAGAGTAAATATTGCAGAATAAAGTTTTTAATTTTAATTTTTTTTTCAAATTAATTTTGAAATTACCCTTTTGTTTAAATTTCTTAAATTTACCTTTTGTTAAGGTTAATTTGTTTATTTAGGCTTAATCTTTTGTTAAAGGTTTTGTTAAGGTTTAACTTTGGTTAAATTAATCCTTTTTTGTTTAAGTATAGAACTTGACCTACCTACAATAATCTGATTTCTCTTAATTTCCTATGAGGGGCTGATCTTTCAGTCCTATCATCATCAATTTATTACTATAGTTGCATTCTGTGTGTGCTAATTTTCATTTTTATATTAATTTTTTTCTTTAAGTACTTTTACTCTTCTTTGTATTTAGATGAGCTAGCTAGAAGTCCTCATATGTTGTATTCCTCTGGAGTTTTCTTTTAATCAGTGAATGTGACTGATACTTTCAAATGGAAGGCTTATTTCACATAGTGGCTTGAGCTTGATCCAGTGAGAGGTTGTGTACACTAGATTGTACAATGTAAGCCAAGAACACTAAGCACCTGACAGGATCATTCCTGTGACCAGAGGAATATGATTGTTTTTATTGACTTGGCAAACTGGGGATTGTGCCAGTTCCATCTTATCTGCATAGCGTGAAGATGTGATTCTCTCAGAATATGGTTTAATTATTGTGTGGAATAGAGCCAGAGGATTTTTCTGGATACTGATGCAGTTACGCCCTGCAGCATTGCCAGTGCGTTCCTAGGCAAGCCTGAACACACTTGGCATTGTTATTCTCCTTTTCAATGTAGGTCAAAGAGAGGAAGAGTTCATTCTTTGCTGCTGGTTGGGATAGGCGGGAATGGATGCTTTATTCTGGTTGAATCTACTATGTCTCCAGAGCACTGAACTGAAATCTCCAGTCTTTGTTAATATGTCTGAGAAATCTTCTAGGGTGTGAAGATCTGACAAGTATTTCAAACTCCATTTGTAAAACAGTCATTTGCTTTTTCTGATTGGTTTTTGGAGGTGCTAATGGAGTAGAATGTCCCTCAGGTGAGGGCCTTTTCAGTGTGCCCCTTTACAAATTCTTCCATGTGCAAATACCCATAGGTTTCATGGATCACTGGAGAGGGCTCTGCTGGGAAAAAGAGGTCCATGGAAAGAGCTCCTCATAAAAATCTACAAAGCCACCACATTGTCCTTAAATTCCTCCTCTGCCATGATGCCTACAAAAACTCATTGATGGTTAGACTGACAGCTGGTGTGCTGTGACCTCTGCTTCTTGCATTGTTTAACTCTCACTGTTCCCTCGTGGCTCCCCAGTCTGTCTGTCTGTCTGTATCTTTCTGTTGTCTTTTGCTACATAGTCAGATTGTAATCTCTTCAGAGTATGGCTTTGCTCAATTCCCAGCAAAATGGGCCGCCTGCTGCTGCTGTTGTACAAATAATTAATAAATAATTATCAGTAGCTCCCCTTTCTCTAGTGCTCAAAGTGTGCCTCTTAATTATAGGTTCACCTATACAAAACCACCAGATCTGAACCCACTCTGATCCTGATCTAGAGACAAACTTTAGTGCTCAGTCTTGTCAAAATTGGTCAGACCAGCATTCAAATATGATTCCGGATCTGAACTTCCCAGCCCAGGCCCATCTCTTTTGTGTTGATATTGAATACTGGCGTAATGGTAGATCTTGTGTCATAGGCTTACCTGCTGCTTTCTCTTTAAGTACGAATGATTTTTTAAAACTTTTAAAGACATTTTGAACACAAACAAGGTAGTTGTTCCTTAAGCATTCATTGACTCCTGTTGCTTTTTCCCCAGCTCAAGTCATACTCATCTGAGGTTTGGTCTATGCTTAAAACTACCAGCATAGCTATGTCAGTTAGAGGTGTGAAATAAACCACCTCCTGGACTGACATAGCTATGCCAGCAAAAACCCCAGCGTAGACACAGCTATGCCGACATAAGAGTGCGCCTGTCAGCATAGCTAGTGTCATTCAGGGAGCTAATAGTGTTTCTATCCTAGCAGAAAATCTTCTTCTATTGCAGTGTACATTGTATCTATACAGTTACTCTGGGATTATGTCTGCAATGGCCTTAGTGTAGACATAGCCTGAAACGTCAGGCAACCAGATCTGGGGATCCAAATAGTAAGTATGACTTTAGGGGGAAAATAAGCAACCAGTTTCAGATTAAATTTTAACAAAGATCCTGATTGCCTAAATATAGTTCTAATACCAAAACTGAGGCAATAAAAATGATGGAAAGTACAGAACATGCAATATTGTCCACCAGATAGTTCATTCTAAGTGGGCTAGAGTGCGAGGTGGGGGTAAGCCAGCATGCACCAGTTCATTTGCTGTGAGTCATGGGTTAGAGTGAGAGGGTAGTTTTGTCCCTATGCTCATCCAGTCCTTTGCCTTTCTGCGGAGACGGCCAACAACAGTGACAAATACAATGGCAGTTTCAATGATGGGACATCTGTCCATTGGGAATTAGTCACTTCCATCAGCCAAATGGTGAAAGACTTTGCATTCTATTATCAATCCCCTAAAATAGCCAATCCTTCTTCTTTTGGCGTCTAGTGTATATAAAGTAATGGGATATTTTCAGATCACTGATGTTCTTAATAGTAGGCTGTCAGGGCCTGATCCAAAGCCTGTTCAAGTCAATGGGAGACTTTCAGCTGACTTCAGCAGACTGTGGATCAGACTCTGGTGTCAATCATTCTAATGAAGCAGGTTGGTATCCAAAGACTGAATTTTCTGAGACAAGGTAAAGGCTTCAATGTGTTCTGTTGCTAAAAATGTACACATTTCTGTATGCTTGTAGTTAAACATTGCCTCCCTTCTCTCTGTCCTTTCCATCTGTGTTTTACAGACATTGCTGGCCAACTAAAGAGACACCACTGCAGACCATGTAATCCCTTAAAAAAAAAACCCATGCTGCCTCGGAAAACAGGACCGCTTCCTCAGAGTTAAAGTGAACAGCTTCAGCAGCGCGTAAAAGGCCTGTGGTCCATGGCAGTCTGGCTGCTGCCACATCTCATAATGTTTTTACTTCGTTTGGGGCCCTCTGTGGGGGAATCAGGAGTGTATTTGCTTTTCAGTCACTAATGTTCATCCATTCATAGAGTTCTCACCTCTCCTTTGCATACGGTTAAAACTCTCCAGCTGGGGTGCTAAAGCCTTTCTGTGAAGTGGACTGTCATTGGTCTTCAAGATTTCCACAGTTACACGTCAGCCCTCCATTCCATTAGTGGATCTCTCCCAACAAGTGGTAGAGCGAACAGATCTGGCTAGAAGCCTTCCACACTACCACTCTGTGTGACATCATTGTGGCACAAAAACCTGTGCTGGGGAGGGACTGTTTGTTTTTCCGTGTAGTCATTCAGTTTTTTTCCCTAAATCCACGTTTCTGGAAATGATTTATTTTAGATCTGCAAACGGATCACAATTTTAGACAGATGTCTGGGTGCTGAAATTTGCCTCTATGCAGAGGATCTGGATGAAGCCCACCAAGGCAACACTTTAAGTCTTACATGGGTGTGTTTAGAATTTCTGCTGGTCCTTTCCAGAGAGCTGAATTTCTCCCATGTGAGAGAGAGCTCCCCCTTTTGAGCAGGAGCTGAGAATCACAACACAGGGGCAAACAGGTCAATTTGAAGTATTCATTAAGGGCCTGATACAAAGCCAGCGGGAAGCTCTTCACTGACTTCACTGGGCTTTGGATCAAGTTCCAAAATGCAGATGCCTTATCTCTAGGAGAATGGCATTATTTGGTTGATGAGCAATATTCAGAAAACCCCTTAACATTAATTATTTAACCCTGTCCTTTCTGAAGCACTCTTGAATTTAGTGTTTCATGGCACATAAACAAAAGCACATTTTGAAAGGGTGGAATAGAATGATACCAAGGGATTGAAAAATAAGGACAACAGAAAGTGCACTCAAACCTGACTGGCAGGGCTCGTTTGCAGTTAACTATAAGTACTGTGGTCCCCAGTTCAGACATTAGATGGGTTCCATCATTTCTTACATTTACATTTCTGCTTGGTGTTTTAATATTCTCATTGTAATATAGGCTCTGTATCTCCATGCTCAGGAACTACAGAATTGGCTTTCAACAGAGATAGGCAGGTGCCAAATGTCATTAATCTCAGAGGTCAGAAATGTAAATCAGCTGTTTGAATATTCTGGTTCATTGGCACATATGTTAATTTCAGTTTTGTCATTGTTTTGTAGTTTGTTGAATGAATGTGTCTAATACAATTAAATGTAATACATGTATCTTGGACTGTGATCTGTTTGGGGCAAGGAGGTTGACTTACTTTTTAAAAATCACAATGCACATTTATGGGTCTGAAGAAATTATTTTCATAGTAATAACCAGTAACTCTAATGTTTAACCCCATTCGTTTTCATCTCTAAGCAAGTGACATGATTCTCTGAAAAAATTAGCCCTTTAAAACAATGTAATTGAAACTTAATGCCAGCTGGGACAGATGATGATGGTGGATGCTTCCACAATAACCCAATCCCAGTTGATGGGAGAAGGGGAAGAAAGAGAGTTTGAAACTGGATAACAAAAACTTAAGTTCAAAAATACATTAGCAACAGTGGAAAAATATATTCTGTGGAATATTTCCCATGAAATGGCCTGACTCTCTGCAAACTCTTACACATCTGAGTTACTTTATTTACATCTATAGTCAAACTGAACTCAGTAGGATGAGGACTACTTGCATGACTAAAGTTACTTGAGTACAGGAATATTTTCAGCATCAGGCTCTAACCTTGAAAGGACAAACTAAAGTATTTTACTACCTAGTAGCATGCAACTAGAATCTGCACATGACATAAGTTACAAGTACCTGTTCTTCCCTTCCCTTTCTTTTCTCTTGGATTATGTATGTTTGACATTACTTAGATCTAAAAGTATTTTACTTCCTGCATTTAAAATAGGCCAATAAATATATTATACAAAATCTATCCTAGCTTATCTGGCTAATGTATTAGGTTAAATACGTTTAAACAGAACAACCATGTACCCTACAAGTTACAATAAAGATATTTTTGACTGATCCCTGTGTTTGCCTGAATAAGTGTTGGACTCTGAGCTTCTGTGATTCATGGAGTGACCCATGTGATAGTCCAATAACTGGAAATTTGAAAGAGGGTAGTAAAAGCAGCAATATTAGAAAGTAAACATCATGACACAGGCAAGAGTCTTTATCTGAAAAGGAGGAAGAAGGGTTCTAACTTCTTTCAAAAGCAGTTGTTTGAAGAAATAAAACGGTACGCAATCATGTTTCTCTTATACCTGAAGGAATGAAAAGAAGATTATTATGTAGCTACTGGTCATGGTGTGTTGTTTGTCCCCCTCGCTATACTCAGTCCATAGAGGACGAAAGTCTGTTACTCCTCAGTGCTAGAGAGCTTTTGGTTCTTTAGCTCAAGTTGTAGACTCATGATTTTAGCTTTGGTGGTCTCCAGTTCAATCCCTGTTGTTGGCCAAGATGGTGGCATTTACAGCTGTGTCTGCTGAATTAACAATATTGTACATGGATAACATTGCCTCTAATTGCTATGCATGCTCATCAGAGTAAAGGAACAAAATCCGTTCTCTTCTCCCTTACTCCACCAAAGGATAAGCATGTTATAGTTCATATACTAATTAAGAGCAATGAGTAGGTACATGAAATATACAAGGACAGAAGGGGCACACACAAAAAAACACTGCTTTTTGGTCAACAGCCCTTTAAGTACAGAAGAATCAAGGGGTCAGATGAGGCCCAGGCTACCCCATTCCAAATAACACCAACTGTACAAAAACCCTGGTGACAGCAGGAGCAGACATAGGAGAGAGGAAGTGGTACCAAGGTAAGGCTGAGTCTCAATGAGAAGAGACAGCTGTCTCTTTAGGGATCCAGGGCCAGGAGCCTTATAATGAAGGGTAGGGTAAGATTCCCCTCCCTCCCAATCAACCAATTAATCCCCCAGCCAATCAAAACAAAACCCTGCGGGAAAAGCAGCACTTAAGAGCCCTGCTCTCAGTGAGGGAGTGCTCCTGGAGGGAGACACTGCTCTGCTGGTAAACTGGCAACCCCCTGGAAGTTCTCATCCCAGGCGGTGGGAGAGCAATGAGAAACTACTCCACCCAGAAGACACTGGCTGCTTTCAAGGTTTGAGTTTAAAGTAATTTTGATTTTAAAATACATTGGCAGCCAGGACACATGGGGCTGGTGCCAGGAAATATAAAGAGCCCACCAAGGAACGGACAAGCTCCAGGCAGTAAGCTCACCACAGTCTTGATCCAGTTCACCAATGTACAGACACAGAACAAGAGTGCTGCCATCTTACTTCTCACTAAGAACCTGACCCAGAGCCCAGTGAAATCAATGGAGAGACTCCCATTGATTTCAATGGACACTGGATCCAGCCCTAAGTGCTCTCTTTATGATTCCACTTCATGCATCATGAATCCCCTAAGTATGAATTCTATCCCCTCAAGCATGTAAGTGCAGGAGTGACAGCATTCTCTTCTACCTAGAAAAGCAGAAAGATGGGTTTGGGAATAGGGTTGAAGTTTGAGCTCCTGAGTCATAGCCCAACCCTCAATGTTTATTTTTGTCTTGCATGCAGTTCCTTATAAGTGTCTTCAGGTGAAGGAAGATTAATGTCACACTTTCTACTTGACTCACCTTCTGTGGGAGAATGACTAAGGCCCGGGATTTGCTGTGGGATAATCATCTTATAGTCGTAACACCATCTGTCCAGCCTACAAAAGTGTAAACCAAGAAATTGGGTCACAGACTGTCATTGAGAGCAGCCAAACTGAAAACATACTCATCTTGCTGTATGCAGTGTTGTTGTAGCCGTGTTGGTCCCAGGATATTGCAGAGACAAGGTGGGTGAGGTAATATCTTTTATTGGACCAATTTCTGTTAGTGAGAGAGACAAGCTTTCCCATCATCCCTCACACACATATTCTGGAATTGCAATATACTGGGTCCAATTTCTGAAGATGGGTCAAACAACCTGCTAGTCATGTTCCTGAGAGCTGATTAGCATTTGTTATAGAAAGACAAAGCAGATGTCCATGAGGGAGTTAAAGCTACTCATGATGGAGGAGAGACAGTCAAGACCAAACTTTCAGAAAAGGAAGAAGGAATTAGTTTGTATGCAAAAACTAGATGCACAACATGTATCTGTAATTACAAATGCAAAATGGGCTGCTGTGAATGGAAACAGACAATTATAGCCTGCTATACTATCCATTTGCATGTGCAACTGTGGTAAGTAACTGAGTACGCTGAAGGGAACAAATATTTCCTGAGCCCTAGGCTCCCTGAATACAAATATTACCTTTATCTAAATACTAACCATTTTCCCCCTCCCTAGTCATAAGGTGGCTGTCTGCTGTGAGTAAAGGGGTTCAGTATTCAGCAATGTCAATCCAGCAAATTTTGCTATCCTAACTCTCTGGAAAAGGGGGCTATCTAAAGGTCGTTAGAAACCAAGGCCCTCAATTAAAATCTAGCGGAGCTTATTTTTGGTTGTACTTTTCTGAGTTAGGCAGGCAGGAGGTTCTCCTCATTTTTGCTTTTTATTCCTCCTCCAAAGGCTCTGGTATTAAACTGACTTCCTGGGTGATATTTGCAGAAGGCCTAATCTGTAAGGTGAAGATCTCCCCCATAATTAATTATCTTCCATTTCCCCCACCACATGCTCCTCATCAATAATCCACAAGTACTGTATACCCTAACATTTCCCTCCAATTTCATTGTATCCTGTATTCACACGTTCCTCAGTAGATTTATTACAGCAGCTGAATAGGTAACTATGCCTCTTTGATGAGCCTACTGGGAAGTTCTGGTGGTGGTTGTTTGGTTTGTTTATTTGTCTTTCCTTGTAGACCTTGCTCATGCAACCTGCCTATATAGCAGCAGGAAGAGGAGGCTTCCTTTCATCTTAATAAGAAAGAAATACAATCACTGTTAAGGAACTGGAAAGGAGTGCTGCTGATTTCTGGTGAGTTTTTTATTGAAAGAGTCATTTCTCTAAGTCCCCGCCAGAAATCATGTATGCTGTATAAATGTGAAGGTCAGATTTAAGAGCTTTGGCTTTTCATATGTAGAATGTAACTATTTTCATAATAAAGCATTAGGTCAGATAAGTGCTGGCGATTTAACCATCTCAGTGTCTCAGATGAACCAGTTAGGCTCAACAAAATCCCAAAGGAAAATATATCCCCTAAGAGAAAAGTTGGGATATACTCGCACAGAGCAACTATATGCTCTCATTTCCTGACACTGTATGGTCTGGCCTTTATTGCTTAATGTGCCTAACAAGGGTGTGGCTGGGTTCATCTGAGTTTTATAGCTCCCAGGATACAGACCCAGGTATACATTAATTTGGTAGCTCTAGGGCCTGTTTCAGCAGGGACGTAAGGCACCAGGGACAGCAGGTGTTCGGCAAAGGGAGTGAAGAGCAGGAGGCAAAGGGATGCCAAGGGCGAATGGTGCTCTAAAGAAGAGGGAGGGAGAGGAGGAAATATCATGAAACTTCAACTGGATTGAGAGAGGGTCTTGCTTTGGTAACATGTTTGCTAAGCTCACATTGCCTTAATATTAAATCACACAGCTGCCCAGATACCGTTCTGATGAGCAAGCCAGAAACGCCAATAAAAAAATTAACTTACACTCCATGTTAGCTTCCTTTACAGAATCTTGTCATTATTTATTTTTAACACTTTATCTGACACCATTACCTGGAGGAGGTGATCTGAGCTGCTGGCCTGTGGCACAGCACAGCCAATGAGGAGACAGATCAGGATATGGAGCAAAGCAGAGTAAACTGGGGAAGTGGAGTTTGGCTGTCTGACCCGCTCAACAGTGGGGTGGTGTGTCTGTCCATCCTATGGCATGACTGTGTACGGATCAGGAAGAACCAATCTCTTCCTAGAGGGAAAGAAGAAATGTATGTGATTCCGCACTTACTGTCTGTCCCAGATTCTCAGCCACTCTCTGGCTACTTTATGCTAGTATATATAGATTGGGTTTTGTTGCCCTTTAGTCGTGTGATTGCTCTTTTTGTGGTTTCATTATTCCCCAGGGGATCTGTAGGTGCCACTGATTGGGCACTACTACACATCTCAGTTTAAGGTTTAGTCACACAAGGAGATGGTGTGGGTAGAGCAGAAGGAAACTATGGCAGAGAGAACCCATGGTGTTCTATTCTTCTTGATTCCATTCCCACCCAACCTTTGCTGCTCTAACTAACCAGCAGCTCCTCCTCCTCTCTGATCACATTTCCTGCAGTTGACGGTTATTAAAGTGGTTTTATACTCCTGCTCTGATATCACAATAACATCTAAGCATGGATGGCTTTGACAATAAACTTCTTATATAAAGGACAAGAAACTACCTGGTAGTGAAACCTGTAAAGGCTTCCTGGGTAACCTTTGCTGGAATCCCCCTTAAGGTGTTTCTATCACAGTTTTTGCTTCTGAATGTTAGCTAGATTCAAAACACTAATTAAAAGATTGAATGCAATAGTAAATCTGTGCACACAGAAAACTTGTCTCTCATTAAACCCTCCCAGAGCACAGGCCATAGTCAGTTCAGGCATCCCCCTACTGGTTTTTGTGTTCATCACAACTATAGTTAAACTCAAACCTTTTCAAAGGGAATATCTGTGAAAGAGGAGGAGGAATGTGTGAGAGAGGGAGTTAGTTCAGACCCTGTTGCACCTGCAGCTGATATAGACATCCTGGAATTAATTCATTTTATACCTGTGCACTGTTCAATCTGAAAGAAAAAAACAATCACTGAATTGGAAAACTGAGATTTTTAGAAACATTTAAACCTGTCAAATAAAATTCCGATCCAGCCACGTTTTATGCATGTCCTTAACTTTGCATAAGTGGGTAGTCCCAGTGAAGTCAATAGGCTATTCATATGCATACAGTTAAGCACGCATAATTGCTTTAGAAAATCTTGGCCTTTCTGTTTAGACACTTAAGCCAGTGCTACTCAAAGTGGTGGTCCGTGGACCGGTGCCAGTCCGCGAGCCGCCAGCTGCCGGTCTGCGCGCACATTGGGGAAAAAAAATTGCCGGTCCCCCACATCAGATAGCTTGAGAAGCTGTCTTAAGCCATTCCCTTGACTACTGTTGCAGATCCCTGTCTGAATAAGTGCAGTGACTCTCAGGGCATGGCTACACCTGCAGATGTAGAGCGCTGGGAGTTAAACCAGCCTTCGGAGACCACAGCAGGGAAAATGCTGCTGTGTGTTTACACCGTCAGCTGCAAGCACACTGGCGTGGCCACATTAGCAGCTCGTGCAATGCCACAAAGAGCAGTGCATTGTGGTAGCTATCCCGGTGTGCAAGTGGCTGCAACGTGCTTTTCAAATGGGTGGGGTGGAGTGTGTTGTGTGTATGTGGGGGGAGAGAGAGTGGGTTTTTGGGGGGCTGAGAGCATGTCAGCATGCTGTCTTGTAAGTTCAGACAGCAGCAGACCCACCTCACACACGCTCACAACAGCAGCGTTCACACTAATGGTTTGCTTTGTCCCGGAGCAGATAAGCATGCCAGCTGTCAGAAATGGAGCTTTGAAAGGGCATATCTGCATTCCTGTAGGCAATTTCAAAACAATGACCAGAGTGGCCACTTGACTTCAGGGGATTATGCGACGTTTCCAGAGGCCAATCACAGCGCAGTAACGCAACACCTCGTTCACACTGACGCCCGGGCGTTTCAGCCAGGGCACAGCAAGCCTTATGCTTCTCATGGAGGTGGATTACCAGGAGTGCTCCAGCTGCAGAGTTCAGGCGCTCTACGTGCCTTGCCAGTGTTGACGCATCGGGAGTTAGGGCTCCCGGGGCTGCTTTAATGCGTTCTAACTTGCAAGTGTAGCCAAGCCCTTAATCATTTGGTTTTTTAGCCTTCACCATGGAAATGCTGCCAAGTTGTAAAGTCAGTATAACTATAAGATCTCATAGGAGATGAAAATGTGCAGGCAGAAGCCTGTGTTAATAATACAAATATCTTTGTTAATTAAGAAAAGTAGTAAGAGAAAGGAAGAGACCATTCAAAAGCCCATAAATGGGATGAAGTTTACCGCAACAGTATCTGGGTGAAATTTTTTAATGTACTAACTTTTTTTAATGGTTAACTTTCTATTGCTCCAGAGGACACTAACTATGGATTTAGAATGGCTGTAATGGAGTATATTATTGATCTCATCATCTTATTGTTAAACATAGCAAAGTTAAGCAAGTCAGCACTAAACCCGGGTTTAACTGTGCCTCTGATAAAGTTGTACTGACCCTTCATATTCCAGTAGTAAACATCTTTAGCTAAGTAAATGGAAGACAGAAACCAATAAGCAGAATGACAGCCTCACCTGAAAGCCTTACCAGCAAAAGCACATATGTATGTGCTTAACTTTGAAGCATGTAGCCCCATTGACCCATTTTTGAAATCAATTCTCTTTGACTTCTGTGAGGGCGGAGTCTGGCCAATGCTGAGCGTTTTTTAAAATCCTGCCTTGAATCTGGAAAAAGGAGGTCAACTGGATTGTTGTGACTAAAACCTGATACTCTCTCTTTGGACTTAGTCCACCCTACCTCACAGAACTGTTGTCTCACTGCTCCTTTCCCCAATCTGCTTACCGTGACAAAAAGAATTTCAAGAGGGGTGGCTTGATCCCAGTTTTTAAGTACCCACATGGGGAACAAAAATTGGATAATGAGCTCTTCAGTCTAGCAGACAAAGGTGTAATGAGCCAAGAGCTAGAAGTTGAAGCTAGACAAATTCAGAGTAGAAATACGGCATGCACATAGTCATGGTCATTAACCATTACCGAACCATTTACCAAGGGTTGTGGTGGATTTGCCATCACTGGTCATTTTTAAATCAAGACTGGATGCTTTTCTAAAAGAGATGCAGCAGTTCAAATAGGAATTAATTCAGGGACGTTCTATGGTTTGTGTTGGACAGGAGATCAGACTAGATGATCACAATGGTCCCTTCTGGCCTTATAAACTATTAAACTATCCCCAGCCTTCTCTCTATCCCTTCATTCTTAGCACTGTTGATGCAAGAACTTTCTTCTGTGCAGCTCCTGTTCTCTGGAACAGCCATCCTGTATTTCACAGCCTCATTGTCTCTGCATCTATTTTCAGATCCCATTTGACCCTTTGCCTGTACCTTTACTATTTCTCTCCCCGTACTATGTATAATTTAATTTAACTTTATAATTTTATTTGATTTTGCGAAACATTTTGGGATGCAGTTTGTAGGAAAGATATGACACAAAATAATGTCATCTTGTATTAGTTATCCTCAACCATTATCTTTGTGCAAGGGATCTTTTCAATTCCAGGGCAGAAATACCTTTACTGATATGTGAGTTACAGTATTAATAATTAATCTGCAGTGTTGATACACTGTAGTGTCAGAGTTGCTGTATGGTACTGTGAGTATGTTATTTCTGTCCTTTAAACTGGAATTATGTTTGGACCTGCTGTGTAATTGTCACGTGGTCTGAAACTTGCAGTTACGACAAGGGAAGGGCATTCTTCAATAATCTATGAATACTGTATGTTGACCCGGTTATTGGAATATTTACTGTATGACTATATTGGCTTACTTTAATAGATGGCTGTTGGAAAAACAAGCAGGAAATGAAATAATGACTTGAGGTAAGATACCTCCAAGCAAACACTTCAGGGCAGTTAAGAGACAATGCCTGAGCTATTAACTGTGAAGAGCTTACCTTCCGCGCTCCGGCTAAATTACAGAGCTTGTCTGGCTGATGCTGGGAAGCAACACATCAAAAGGACTAGAAACAGTTGATGACTGTCTCTGTCCAGAGGCTATATAGTTGCTGGGAACTGTTTGGAAGAATAGACCCTGTGGGATCTGGGATAAGATAGGCCTGTCTAGGGCCTCAGGTAAGACAGACATGTTTGTAGCCCTTCTGTTGTCTTAAAACCCTTTTCTCTTATGTTATGCTTTGATCCTACTGTAAAGATTAAACAATACTTTGGTTTAAGAAGGCTGTCTGAGTTCTCAGTATATCACTAGACTCCTTAAGGGAAGAACCACAAATGCAGAACCTAACTGGACCCGTTGAGTAAGCACAGTCAATACAGAGTGCTATACCCCAGGACCAGATCTAAGAGTGGAAGAATCAAGGGCTTCCACCCTGAGAGAGGTGAAGGCATGAGGCCTGATACCTGTGCGGTTGCACCCAGAGAAAGCAGAGAAGGGTCAGATGTGCAGCTAACTCTGTAACCATCACACCAGCTATTCACCACCTAAATCCCACTTAAGATCTGATAAATATCCTTAGGCCTCAAGGCAGTCCTCCACACACATTTCACCCCATGTCCCTGACCTTGGTACCCCCCTTTGCAATGCATTACTGACTTAGTTATATGTGGTGGTGAGAAAAGCGTGTTTATTTTTAACACATTCTCTGACGAGCAAGCAGATTTCCTTTCCAGGAGTGCTGACTCTGAACATCAGTCGTGCAGATGACTGTGCTCTGAGCATGGAGCAACAAAAGGTTGTCCATATAATTGACATAATATCTCTCATGTTATATGGCTCCTTTCTTTGCTCTTTCATCTTGGTCTAACTGAGTGCAAATAAACAATTTTACTGCCAGGTAGAAATCAAATTTTCTTTCCTGTTCAAAATCTCTTCTCACCAGACTTGGTAATAGCTACACAAGGCAGTTCATAGAATCATCAGGGTTGGAAGGGACCTCAGGAGGTCATCTAGTCCAACCCCCTGCTCAAAGCAGGACCAATCCCCAATTTTTGCCCCAGATCCCTAAATGGCCCCCTCAAGGATTGAACTCACAACCCTGGGTTTAGCAGGCCAATGCTCAAACCACTGAGCTATCCCTCCCCCCTCTGTGGGGTGGGAGGAGAGGGACTGTGGATTT